CGGAGACACGCAGGAGCCGCCGTTGAGACAGCGTCCGTCGCAGAGCGCTGAGGGTCAAAGAGAGAGGACACACACAGGTGAGACGGGTCATGTGACCGGGGTGAGAGTGAGACAGGTCATGTGACCAGGGTGAGAGTGAGATGGGTCACGTGAGCGGGGTGAGAGTAAGATGGGTCACGTGACGGTGTGAGAGTGAGACGGGTCACGTGACCAGGTGAGAGTGAGACAGGTCATCTGACAGGGTGAGAGTGAGATGGGTACACGTGACCGTGATGAAAGTGAGATGGGTCATGTGACGGAGTGAGAGTGAGACGGGTCATGTGACGGGGTGAGACGGGTCATGTGAGCGGGGTGAGAGTGAGACGGGTCATGTGACCAGGGTGAGACGGGTCATTTGAGCGGGGTGAGAGTAAGATGGGTCACGTGACGGTGTGAGAGTGAGACGGGTCACGTGACCGGGTGAGAGTGAGACTGGTCATGTGACCGAGGTGAGAGTAAGATGGGTCACGTGACGGTGTGAGAGTGAGACGGGTCATGTGACCGGGTGAGAGTGAGACAGGTCACGTGATGGGTGATAGTGAGACGGTCATCTGACAGGGTGAGAGTGAGATGGGTCACATGACCGTGATGAAAGTGAGATGGGTCATGTGACGGGGTGGGAGTGAGACGGGTCATGTGAGCGGGGTGAGAGTAAGACGGGTCATGTGGCGGTGTGAGAGTGAGATGGGTCATGTGACGGGGTGAGACGGGTCATGTGAGCGGGGTGAGAGTGAGACGGGTCATGTGACGGGGTGAGACAGGTCATGTGAGCGGGGTGAGAGTAAGACGGGTCATGTGACGGTGTGAGAGTGAGACAGGTCACGTGATGGGGTTAGTGAGACGGTCATCTGACAGGGTGAGAGTGAGATGGGTCACGTGACCGTGTTGAAAGTAAGACCGGTCATGTGACGGAGTGAGAGTGAGACAGGTCATGTGACCGGTGTGAGTGTAGGCTTGTTCGACTTCATGCAGCTCTGCGCAGACCGATCGTCGGCTGACTTGAAACAGTGCATGCCGGTTAGAAATTTTGTCCGACTTGATGCAGCGCTGACTCCACGTGACTGTGACATATGCCATCAAAGTACCGCGAGAGCGATACGAGAGTAGCCGGAGGACTCAGCCAGCGCAGCTTCTCAAGAGCGGCTGCACGAGCTCTGATGATGTCACAGCTGTTCCACGATTCGCCGGATTCACCGCATGACAACGATCACGTGCGTTTCGTGTTTATTCTCACACGTTTAGTTCCACTAAAGCTCACAAATCAGTATTTTATAACAGTAAACACTCTTTTCATGTAGTCGCAATGTTATATTGTGTCATGTTTATCATGTTTATCAAAATAAAACTGATTAAAAAACGTTGATTCCACGTCATTGATTATAGGCTTATTTTGAACTTTATTCTAGTTCAAACAGATGCTGTATGAAGCAGTAAAGTATTGAATGAAAATGTGTCTGAAATATCTGTTTATTTGGCAAATGTTGCACTTATTTCACTTCAGCTGTGGTATAACCATGCAAACACCACGTGAGCGGTCACTACGGGAACCAGAAATTGTCCGACTTCACGTCTCCGTTTGCAGCTCCTCCCCGCCTGCACGCGGCTGTTCTCGCCGATCGGTTGCATCCAGCCGCAGGCGATGTCGAACACACCTAGTGAGATGGGTCACGTGAGCGGGGTGAGAGTAAGATGGGTCACGTGACGGTGTGAGAGTGAGACGGGTCACGTGACCAGGTGAGAGTGAGACAGGTCATCTGACAGGGTGAGAGTGAGATGGGTACACGTGACCGTGATGAAAGTGAGATGGGTCATGTGACGGAGTGAGAGTGAGACGGGTCATGTGACGGGGTGAGACGGGTCATGTGAGCGGGGTGAGAGTGAGACAGGTCATGTGACCAGGGTGAGAGTGAGACGGGTCATTTGAGCGGGGTGAGAGTAAGATGGGTCACGTGACGGTGTGAGAGTGAGACGGGTCACGTGACCGGGTGAGAGTGAGACAGGTCACGTGATGGGGTGATAGTGAGACGGTCATCTGACAGGGTGAGAGTGAGATGGGTCACATGACCGTGATGAAAGTGAGATGGGTCATGTGACGGGGTGGGAGTGAGACGGGTCATGTGAGCGGGGTGAGAGTAAGACGGGTCATGTGGCGGTGTGAGAGTGAGATGGGTCATGTGACGGGGTGAGACGGGTCATGTGAGCGGGGTGAGAGTGAGACGGGTCATGTGACGGGGTGAGACGGGTCATGTGAGCGGGGTGGGAGTAAGACGGGTCATGTGACGGTGTGAGAGTGAGATGGGTCACGTGACCGTGTTGAAAGTAAGACGGGTCATGTGACGGAGTGAGAGTGAGACAGGTCATGTGACCGGTGTGAGTGTGAGATGGGTACGTGGTGGGGTGAGAGTGAGACGGGTCACGTGACGGCGTGAGAGTAAGACGGGTCATATGGCGGTGTGAGAGTGAGACAGGTCACGTGATGGGGTGGTAGTGAGACGGTCATCTGACTGGGTGAGAGTGAGATGGGTCACGTGACCGTGATGAAAGTGAGATGGGTCATGTGACGGGGTGAGAGTGAGACGGGTCATGTGACCGGGTGAGGTGGCAGATGGAGGACTGTCTCACCTCTGCAGGTGGTGCCGTTGCCGGTGTATCCGGGTTTGCAGGAGCAGCTGTGGCCGCCGACGGTGTTGAAACACAGAGCGTTTTCATCACAGCTGTGCTGCCCGGACACACACTCATCGTGCTCTAGAGAGGGAGATCAGAGATCAGATCATAACTGTGTGTGTGAGAGAGTGAGTGTATGAGTGTGTATTTATTGCAGCTGTGCTGCCCAGACACACTCATTGTGCTCTAGATGGGGAAATCAGAGATCAGATCATAACTCACTCATCAGCCGCGTTATTCTGAAGAAAATAATGTCTTTCTTTTTCTACAGATGACATCACAGCTTAGAAAAATGTGTACTCAAAACGTTCTGCAAACTTTCCTGTGGTAAAAAAGGTACTGACTTTTCTCTCAGAATCTTCTAATTCAATTCAATAATTATAATGTGAAATATAAATATAAACTTGCCATTTTGACTTGATCTCTTGCAATTCCGAGTTTATTTTTTCGCATTTTTATCAAAATTCGTAATACATAGTCAGAATTGCAAGAGATAAAGTCAGATTAAGTTAGAATTGTTTAAATCTGAAATTGTGACTATGACTCTCAATTGCAATTTGATTTCTTGAATTTCTGATATTTCGCGCAATTCTGACTTTTTTTCCGCAATTACGAGTTAACATCAAAACTCGCAAAACATAAAGTCAGAAAAGATTCTCTCTGAATTTAGATTTTATAACTCTCAATTGCGAGTTTATATCCATCAATTCTGATTTCATATTTCCCGTAATTCTAACTTTATTTTGAGCAATTTGTACATACTTTTTTTGCAATTCCAAGTTTATATAAAAATTCAGAAGAATTTCTAGTTTGCAAATATAAAGTTAGATGTGCAAGTTTTTAATCTCCGAATTTAGACTCTAACTCTCAATTGCAAGTTTACGATACCGATTTTATATCAAATTTCTCAGATATAAAGTCAGAATTGCACGTTTTTATCTGGAAATTTAAATACGAGTTGCTATCTCGCAGTTTCAAGAAAAAAAAAGGAGTCGAATTGTGAGATAGAAAGTCAGAATGACCTTTTCTCTTTTTTTTTTTTATTCCAAAGTGGAAAAATGCTTCCATGCATTCCCTTTCATAAATAAGTTGTGAAAACTTCTGGGTTTTTTTTTAGGCGTTGTAAGTAGTTTTTCCTGGTTTTTGCATTCGTTAGGGAAAACATAAAGGGAACATTTCAATCATAATTTTGCACACATTATGAGACCATTGTTGATGTTACTACCGTACATTAGATGAACGTCCAAATAAAGCTCCATGAACCATGTATATACGTTTTGATAATTAAAGATCAGATAACTTTGAACAAACGTATTATTACCGTTACTCGCTTATTCAAAACGAACGTTTCCTTCTAGCTGGAATCAAACAAACCATCTTTATGTAGAGATGCTTTTCACCATCCAATCAGTTTCTTAAGGATAAAATATGTCATTTTTCTTCAAATATTTTTCAGCGCAAGCTGAAGATGGCAGAAATTGCAGACGTGACTCTTTCCTTCTGCCCTCTAACTGACCTTGAGTGGACACTGAGATCTGTATCCATGGGGGATTCTGGGATACATTCATCTCTGAGACCGGCTGAGATTTCATAAAACCCTCCAGCAAACCCACTCCCGGCAGAAATAAACACAAATGAGGGAATAACTACAGACCGCGTGCATGTGACTCAGGAAGAAAACAGTGGCAGTGGCTGGTAAGCTGTTTTCCTTGAGTATTTCACTTTTTTTTTATTTTTCACATTTAGTGAATTGAAAAAAATAGTCATTATTTCTATTAGAAAACATGGTCCATGCATCTGGATATAAACTAAATATAAAAATTTACATGTCATCACTAGACTTGCTGGTGGAAAAATAACACTTTAAAAAAATTAAAAACACTTTTAAAAGCAATCAGAGCTGATGTAATCAATCGTTCAGAGTCCATATGCTTTTACATGAAACAGGAATTGGTCCGAAGTGTCTTTTCAATGATCTGGCGAAGATCGGCCTCACGTTGAGAGACGCCTGTTTCAAGGTTTGTTTATATGAAAGGGTCTTCAGAGAGTAAGAACTGAGATTCTTGTGCTTATAAGATTTACGTTGAAATAGGGTTGATGAAAATCATGTGAAAATGTAGTTTTTGCCGCTCAATGCCGCCTTATTTTATTTGAATTATTTGAATTTGTTAATTTGTATTTTAAATCACTATCATTATTCGCAACAGAATATCCTCATATATTTCCATCTAAACCTCATATTATCTTGCGGTTCCTAATATGTTTTCCGTCCAGCTGGCGCGTGACCAGTGAAAGCCAGTTTTTATATTGACATTTGGCTCATGGCGAGTGTTAATTTTAGACCCTGTGTGGAAGCATCTCGCAGGTGTGATAGAAAATGATATTTTTATTGCATAAATGCCTTCAGAGCTGTCATAATTCCTCTAATTAATATAAAATCAGAAAGAAAACGAACACTGGCTTCATATCAAAGAGGGCCGCCAACATTTCCCATCATTACTATATTCAGCAGAGCCAAGAACCGCATGAATAAATCAATAGCCATCCCATATGCCTGCTTTAGATTTTTTAAAGGGGTCAAATCATAAAAAAGAGATGCAAGAGTTCGATATTACTATGAAAACATACTGTAACTTTCAGAACTTCCTCTACAGTCTAAAAAAGCATGTTTAGAATCTAAATTCAACTCTTAGATTAATTCGTATGCTGCACACTGCCAAAGCATGTTCTTCTTCCTCAGGATTTCTGTCTTGTATAAATATCTAATCTTTCGAAAAGACTCCATTGGCAGATATGTGTTCCTGTTATATAAGCACTTAATATTTTTTTCAATAAACAAGACTTCATTTTGCGTCTCAAGTAAGTGTATCTTGGTTTAAGAATCTTTATATATTTGTACGGAAACATGAGACAAAACTAGCTTTCTGCAGTGCATTTGCTGTCTAAAGGAGCACAACGACACTTTGTTCGTCTCGATCCGGCCTGAAAGCCGTCAATGTCGTTCACCACGTGTTTTGAGTTTCTTCATGCAAACTGGAAATGACAGTTTCAATCCCAAAGAGGTGAATGCAGCAGACTGCATTAAGACACACATGCAGACAGGCTCAAACATGCATTGTGCTGCTGTCTATCACAGCGATGCTGAGCGGGACAGAACTGAGATGTCAGATGAGAGGATTATCTCAAGGTCACCGGCGTCACACCTGCAGGACGATCACATCGGGAAACACTCCTACGCTTCTGTCATTCATGCGGCAGGAAGATAAACAATCAATTATGTACAGGAGGTCACCAGGGACGGCTAGGCGGTCTGTGCAAAAATCATGCTCTTCCTCAGCATTTTCCGTCACATACATTTTTTGCACGAAATTAACCTACCGGTCAAAAGATTTTTTATATTTTAATCTCTTCTGCTCACCGAGGCTGCTTTTATTTGATTAAAAATATATTAAATATTGTGAAATATTATTACAATTTAAAATGACTATTTTCTATGGGAATATATTGTAAAGTGTAATTTATTCCGGTGATCAAACTCCAGTATTCAGTGTCACATGGTCCTTCAGAAATCACTCTAACATGAGGATCTCATGATCCATCAATGATGAAAACTCTTATTTACATTTTATTTCAGGATTATTTGATGAATAGAAGCTTTTGTAACATTAAACACTATTTAAATCAGCTTTGATCACAGGAATAAATTACATTCAAAATATATTCAAATAAAAAACAGTTTAAAAACATTAAAAAAATCGCACAAATCCAAATTTTTTGACTCGTAGTGTGTGTATGTTTCAGCTGTAATGCACTTATTCAAATAACAAAAGCAGTCTAAAGTTTTAATGACAAAAACAATGAGACTTCATTTGCAGTAATCTGTAAATATGTTCAAAATACTCCATTTAATGTCATGAGCCTCCTTTACATAAGTTTTTTTTTCACAAAGTCACAATGTGGATGTAGTAAAACATAGATGTAGCAGAAAACATGTATTTTCTGCTGTCACCGGCCTTGAAATCAGGATTAAATATTGTCAAACGTGAAAATGGGCTGAGAATTAAACAGATAGTTGTGAATCATGTCTTTGTGGCAGTTTTTCTGCTGATAAAGTGATTACCCTAAATGGTTGTCAAAACCAAAAATGCTACAAAATGATATTGACGACACACTTGCCACGAATGACAAATGACGGCAATCATATTTTGTGAGAAAGTGACGAGCTAAAGCAAAACAGCCACTATTTTTTGAATCTGCGGCCCAAAATAAAATCTTCCAGCAGAAAATATGATGCAGGGCGGTGAAATCGTCAGCAAACGTGAGCTTTATGCAGAAAAAAGCGCATCTGAAGGCGTCTGCATGGGTTGCACGCTCACAAGCTGAAGTCGTCTGCTCTGTTATGTCATGCACAAAAGTGTGAGGGCGACGTGATTGGTGTTTTAAAGATGTGGCGAGCCAGCAGGGGGCCACCCGGCTTAAAATGGAAGAAAACAAAAACAGAATTACAGTCGCTTCGCATTTATCAGACTCGGCAATTACTGATGACGCCTCAAAAACACGTCCTGCACTTTCAACAGCACTGAAAAGCCTCAGACAGGGACGTTTCATCAAAAAACGCCACAAATGAAGGTTGAGATCGGGAAATGTCAATCAGGCCTTTAAATGGCTTTTGATTTGCTGTGCTGGAGCTGACAGTCTGATTTCATGTTATGGCTTATCCTGCTTTGATGCTGGTTGACCTAGTTATTCCAGTTAAACTAGCCGCTACTGTGTTATTGGTTAAACGAGTTCAATCAAAAATGAAAAATTCTTTCATAGTTCAAGTTGTTCCAAACCTTTATAAATGTCTTTGTTCTGCTGAACGCAAAGGAAGATATTTTGAAGAATGTTGGTGGTAACCAAACAGATCTTGGGCCCCATTGACTACCATTCATTTTTTTTTTTTTTCAGGTGACTTTCCCTTTAAGGGCTTTTGTTGGAAGCGGTGTTATTGGTAAAACTAGTTAAGGACTTATGTCGGAAGCAATCTTATTGGTCAAACTAGTTAAGAAATTTTGTTGAAAGCAGTGTTATCGGTTTAACTAATTAAGGGCTTTTGTTTGTTATCGGTTAAACTAGTTAAGAAAAAAAAATTGTTAACTGAAAAAAAGCTGAATGAAAATATAATAATTAGATGGGGAAAAATATTAAATGAAAATTAGATAGAAATGTTGCATTGGCAACTAAATGAAATAAGTTTAGGTTGAAGTATTAAAATTACTAACTGAATTGAAACTGAAGTTGAAAATTAAACCTATTTAAAAATGTAATCAAAAATCAAATAAAAGGACAAGAGCATGGAAAAGATATATATATATATAAAGGAGTATATTATAGCATATAAATAATACTAAAATAATACATGATAAATATTCCTTAAAAAAACCTACATTTACTTGAGAATTAGTATTTTGTATAAAAAAAAATTCAGAAAATATATCTTGAATTAAGTTGGTTTTGTTTACCCTTTTGGCAACTAGTTGTTTTTTTCTTTTCTTGTTTTGAGCATAAATCTAATAAAGTCTTGTGAGGTTTATGCATTTGCCAAAAGGCTTAGAAAAAGAAAACTGAATTCAAGATATAATATTTGAAAACATCTCTTAATATCTTACAACTTTTTGCTATATATTTAGTTCCAAACAACTAAAATTAGTGTTGTGAAACGATTAATCGCGATTAATCACATCCAAAATAAAAGTCTGTGTTTACATAATATATGTGTGTAAACTGTATAATTATTTTGTATATATAAATACACACATACACTGTAAAAAAATATTGTTGGTTTAACTTAAAAAAGTAAGTAACCTGGTTGCCTAAAAATGTTAAGTTCAATGAACTGGAAAAAGTGAGTTAATACAATGAAGGAGATTAATTTAATCATCAGAAACTCAAAATAATAAGTTATCTCAACTACATAAATTATTATAAAGTTGATTTGACAAAAGAAAATGTGTTGTGAAAACAAATCTTGAAAATATTTTTTACAGCGTACTTGTATCTATTTAAGAAAAATGTGTTATTTATATATAAAATATTTATGTATAGTACAAATTATATATGTACAGTATATATAAGCAAATATTTCTTAAATATATACGTGTGTGTGTATTTATATATACAAAAGTTCACACACATGTATTATGTAAACACAAACTATTATTTCGGATGTGATTAATCGTTTGACCGATATTATGAATAGATAATGTTTATTTATACATCTCTGGAATCTATTTGATTAAAAATGAGAAAAAAATTCATATTTTTTGGCAGCGCGGGATGTTGAATGGATCGTCATGATTTGCGTGAGCTGCTCTACGAGTCTTTAGCCTTCATTTAACCCCATGAAAGCAGCAAAGCGTTCGGTTACAAAGATTCCCCTCCAACTATAGGTGGTGCTCGCTTTTATTCACCTCGAAGGGTGTGAAATTTGGGTCTGAATGAAACGTGTCCCATCAAAAGGAGAAGTCACGGACGATGCAGCACAGCTCTTGAACTCAAAAATTAGGGTTTCCATTTCCCATAATCCCGCTGCCGCTGCCCAGACAAAACCACATTCACACGGAGAGATGGTGGAGGCCTCTGTCCGCGACTTCTCCGCGGGAATGAACAGATTCCAGGAGTCGGGATGTGTATGAGGCGAGATACAGGACAGG